TGGCATGATCTGTTTTTGACAAACCCATGTTGGCTATTGGCTATTACTTTGTTTACTTCTAGGTCTCCTTCCTGAAATCTGTTTTGGAAGGTCTCAAGACATTTGTGCTGAGGGAGGATATTGGAAGACGTGCAGAATGCTTTCCCCCCTTAGGAATCTTTTATGGCCTCTCAGAGGCCCATCTTAACAAGGGAAAGAACTTCTGGGCAGCTAGTTTGATTTTAAGCCTTCTGTATTTCTTGACATCACACATTCAAACACCCTCCAACGCCTTTTCTATCTCAGATCTCCGCTTGCTTTTAAGAAAATGTCTGATCACAATCATATTTGGAAATTGTGTGTGTGGTGATGGTGGGAGAGCTCTTTGGCCACAATTAGGTGTTTGCTCCAGTACCATAAGAGAGTGTGTGCTCTCTTAGAGGCTGTGATAAAATGCTGCTTTTGTTGGAAACAGCTGTGTCTCGCATTATAATTTCTCCAGGGAAACTATTCACCAATGGCTTCAAAATGTTCAATTTCCATGGAAGTCATCAAATCAAACTAAAAAAAAACATATAAGATAAACAAAATGGAAAAATAGATGGAATGAATTGTGTGCGTGCATGTTTCTGGGTTCACCTAACAGGCTTTTCCTTGGTTGCTTAATAGTAATTTTTGGTGGGGGGGGGTGTGTTTCACTTAACACATTAAGCAATAAATGAATTACTAAAAGTAGGCTGGGTTCCCACAAAATGCCAAACAAAAACAGCAACCCAAAATTAACCTACTTAGCATTTGTGGCATTCACCTGTGGAGTTTTTAGCCGCTCTTGTTAAACCATATGGGAGTTGCCTTGCAGTAGGAGAGAAAATGAAGAATAAGTTTGCATTTTTGACAAATCATAGGAGTGCCTGTGCTGCCCTTGAGCCATGCACTACTTTGGTATGCAAACAATGGTTTGAAAGTTATGTTGCTTTGACCCTCTTGTTTGGCTTGCAAGTAACAAGGGATAGATGATAAGAGCAAGGAGATAGATGCTGTAGAAGCAATAAAAATAGAAAGAAAGAAAGATATACTTGATTTCAGCTAGACAGTAGTATATCATGTCTGCTTTCTGTGGGTTTTAAAAATGTGTTTGGGTAGCTTGAGCAACTCCAGAATAATATAGATGCTGTGGGATCCTTGGTGCTCTCTGACCTTGGTGGTTTTCTTGCAGTCATTTAATTATCAAACTAGTCACATCATCAATGCTGATAATGCTAACTAGTTTGGTAACAAAACAACCAAACTTGGAGAGACCCAATGACTCTTCAGGTCATGGACAGTTGCCCAGCCATATACTAGTTAATGTGGCCCAGGTTTGGTTTTTTTTAAACTTTAATTGTGCCTCTCTTCCTACTTGCACCTCTTCCCTTCAGATTGTGATAATGGAGACCAGGAGTAAAGACGGTACTTGGCCCAGTTCCAGACCACATATCATGTGAGTATCTACCATACTACAATTTCCACAGTTTTGAGGTGCACCTGCATCCCCTATCTAGGGTGGATTGTACTGTCAAAATTGGGCAGGCTTCCAGCTCCCAGTTTGCCTGAGCTTTGGGAGGTATCACTGTCTTCTGATCTCGTTCTGCTCCAACAGGAACCAGGCTGTGGGTTTCACCTCCTCTTTTTCACACTCACTTTCCCTGCCTCTTTTCAGGAAGAATTCCATTGATGAGGAAGAGCGGTACCGGGGCCAGCCAGGGATTTGTGGCCTTACCAACCTGGGGAACACATGCTTCATGAACTCTGCTTTGCAAGTAAGAAATATGAGTGATCTTTTGGGTACCAAAACTTTGGGTACTGTGATGACATGCCACCAAGCAGAACGAAAACTTTGCTCACATTCTGCTAGTATATTGGGTGCATTGCCAGTGTTGTTACATGTCTGCCCACATGTAACAGGTCCTAATGGGTTACGTATTTTGGCATTGTCTGCTTGAATGCCTGTTTAGAGTAGCTGTTACGTTGAATTAATACATCTTGGCTGATTTGTTTCTTAACACTCACCAATCCCTGAATGCTTCCAAAAGGGGGGAAAAGGGCCACCCTTTTTCTGAGAAGATATACATACTTATGTATTTATCTGTGTGATCTATTCGTGACCCGTCAAAACCGCGGTCCACTAAAGCGTGCCCGATTAAAGCGCGTACCTGACGTCATCAGCAGCGCGACAAATACGACCGCGGAGAAAAAAGGGCGCTTTAAAAAGCGCTTTTAAAGCAAGCCGATTCACATAAAGGTAAGGGTTAGGTTTAGGGTTAGGGTTAGGTTAAGGGTTAGGGTTAGGGTTAGGTTTAGGGTTACGTTAAGCGTTAGGGTTAGGTTTAGGGTTAGGTTAAGGGTTAGCGTTAGGTTTAGCGTTAGGTTAAGGGTTAGGTTTAGGGTTAGGTTTAGGGTTAGGTTAAGGGTTAGGGTTAGGTTTGGGGGGGTTAGGTTTAGATTTACCCTTTAATTTTAAGTTTACCGCTCACAGCGTGCTGTTTTCGTCACGCTGTGATGACGTCACGTGCGCGCTTTAGTCTACCACGGTTTTGTGGTGGAACCGATCTATTATGATAAATGTCAATCTTGTAAAAAGTACAATATTGACAAGAGCTTTTGCTTGACCTGCAAACCATAAAATTGAGAATTCAATCATCTGGAAAGCTATGATGATATCACCAGCCACCTCTTAGTGATAAGCCTCTGGTTGCATTTAATTGTCCAGCATCCTAATCAAAACAAAACATCTCTCTTACACTATGATAACGTACGATAATTCAATAAAGTCTGCTTGTATCAGTCTCCCTACAGTCCTAACTTAATATCAACTCTAATAACACCACCTCTTTGTTTATATTTACCTTTCACTCCCAGGTACCCCCCCAGTAACCAATTCTCATTTCTGTCCCATACATGCCAGTGAGGCATGATGTCTTTCCCACCCTTTACAGCAAGGAAGCTATAAGTTTTTCCTGCCCACTGCAGCATTTGATCAACAAAACCAACCGTCTCAACAAAGATGGCTAGAAATTCCTGCTTCTCTCCCACACATGGATTTGGGTGAGGGAGTTGCAACCCACCTGGGGTCCTTTTGTACCATCTTACCATCTGTGGAAGAATAATGGATTTGCTAGTTCAAGGAATTTTGATTACACCATCTTTATCATGACTTGGGAGGATTGATAAATTAAAGATTGCTCTCTTTTCTGTTTTTTTTAAAATTCCCTTGTAAATAATTCCCTCCTTTTTCTCTTCCTTAACTTTAAATTGGAGAAAGTACAACGACATAGATTATAATAATGCAGCCAAACATTTCTTTTACCCAATGGGAAGAGGAACAGAAAGGAGTCTTCTGACATTTCGCTATTGGAAACTAAAGAAAAGCTAAATTGCATCTACCCATTCCTTACTAATGAGAGTTTGTGTAACCATTATAAAAATAATGGCTGTATAAATGTCATAGCTAAACACATCTTTTGGGTACATTATTTTTGTTTATGTGAAAAAATGGCTACTGGAAAAGTTCTGGGCCAATATCAGTTTGCTTAACCTTACTTTTAATTTCATTTCACAAAGGAAAATATTCTCTTTGTGTCAAAGGTGTTTTTCCCCCCAGAGCTTCATTCTGAAAAATGAGCTACCACCCAACACTACATCTGGCACACTTTCATTCTTTCTTCCAGTGTCTCAGCAATGTGCCCCCTCTGACAGAATACTTCCTCAATAACAATTATCTGGATGAATTAAACTTCAGCAACCCTCTTGGCATGAAAGGTGAAATTGCTGAAGCCTATGCGGATCTCATTAAACAGAAGTGGTCTGGCCATCACCGCTCCATCGTGCCCCGAATGTTCAAGGTTAGTTGCGTTCTTGTCTTGCTGCTTTTTTAGTCTCTACCTACCGCGTTGCTGATCTTGGAGCCCCTGTTTTTGCATTCCATTCAGACCAAAGTGGGCCATTTTGCCTCTCAGTTCCTTGGCTATCAGCAGCACGATTCCCAGGAGCTTCTCTCCTTCCTGCTCGATGGTTTGCATGAGGATCTCAACCGTGTGAAGAAGAAAGAGTACATTGAATTAAAGGATGCAGCAGGGAGACCCGATGAGGTGAGCGTGAACTGTAAGGGAAATGTCGGAGAGTCCAGCTTGGATTCTAGCCAGTATGTTTGTAGAAGGAATAATGTATCGTCAAACTTGGAAACTTCTGACTGGAGATCTTATCTGTTGAATTTCCATTGTGATCTTTACATGTGTTCTTCTGGTCCATTTCAATTTTTATACCACGGTATGGAAGAACAGAACTTGAAGGAAGACCTTTGCCCAGTCACACCTGCCTGCCAGGTCTAGCTGGAAAGGGTGTGTTGTGGGTTCATGAAGGAATATCATCTGATGGGATCCAAGAGGAAAGCCTTTTCCGCATGGTTCCTGCCCTTTGGAACATCATCAGACTGGCCCTGACCTTGTTGGAATTCGGGAAGGGCCTGAAGGCATGGCTTTGTCATCTGGCCTGGGTATCTGGTAGTGGTGCTAGAAAAACGGTGCTTTCCCACAGATTATGGGCTTTTTGGTGTTTTTTTTTTTACTGTTTCTAATGACTCTTGTTACAGTATGGGTTTATTTTTTTCTATGGGGGGGGGGGTAACTTTGTAAGCTGCCCAGAGTCACAGAAATAAGGTACAAGGGACTAAGCAAATCAATCAATCCTTTACTCCCAGTGTAGTCCCCTGAAGAATTCATATTAATTCCTCAACTCCAAAAGTTCAGTGAACTCTAAATGTTATTGCTTTCGTCTAAATTTCACGAGCGGGAGGTTTTTCTTGAAACCTTAGCATGTAGCTAGAAATAAAAACCAAACTTTTGTTCCCTCTGAGCAAGAACAGGGCAGTGCAGTGATAAAGGGGAAGGGGGGGGGGGGCTTCCAAAGGCTTTACAGTAATCAGAGATTTGGCAGTACAAAATAAAGGAAACTGGATGTAATTTGATGAGGCTTGGAATCTGTTGAAATGAGGCAATGAATCATAAGAACCACTCCATTACTGCAGTGAACTGGGGATGTCCTTTCACTAGGGATTGAGGGTTATTTCTTTCTATAGGATCCTTGCTTCAGACTCCTGTGCTCAGTTTACAATGCTTATAAATTCTCTGAGGTTTTCCATCACAAATGCTGTGCATTAATTGATGGTGATATAATAGACCTCCTCTTTCTCTCCCCCTATATCCCCTTGCACTTTTTCCCCCAACAGCAGATGAAGACTAGCATGAATAATTGGTCTCACTTTAAAGATAAGGGTAGCAGGGGAAAAGTCCTTTGGGGGTGGTTGAGATTTGTTTATTAATTCTGAGGTATTTGTTGCCAAACTCTATGGTAAAATTCTAAAATAAACTTCTCTGCTTGTAAGCATCCAGGAAGAGATAGGAAACTTCCCTTTGACCTCAAGCTGTGGTTAACATCGCTTCAGCTGATGCATTTAGTAAAGTGAAATGCTGAGAATTGTAATTCAGAAAAAAATGGGTGAGCGTGGGAAGAGAGAGCTGTAGCTTTTCAGACCATTCATTCTACCTCTTTCTGTTCAGGAAGTAGCAGAAGAAGCGTGGCGCAACCACAAACGTCGCAACAATTCCATCATTGTTGATATCTTCCATGGACTCTTCAAATCAACATTGGTTTGCCCTGAATGTAACAAAGTTTCGGTGACTTTTGACCCCTTCTGCTACCTCAGTGCCCCTCTGCCAATTAGCAAAGATCGAGTGCTGGAGGTTTTCTTTGTATCCATGGATCCCTGTAAGAAACCTGAACAGGTACCAATGAGCTGCCTAGAAGGCAAGAATGTCGTGGCACATCTTGATTTGAATGAGATTTGAGGGTTCTGGAGTTGGCGGGGAAACGGCCCTAGAGCCATTGTCATATATGTAGAAATGTTCACGCTTGATACTAGGGGTGGGGAAAAAGGTTCCCATCTGAAACCCAGGAAAGAGGTTTCCAATTATTTGGACAACGGTGACCAAATGGAGCCAAAATTTGATACAGCTTCAGCTTATTTTTAGGATTTATGCTGAAAGATAGAGAATGCAAATAGTTTAGATCCGACTATGGACTTTGCACTTAATTGAAACCTATGGGTCTATCCCCAGATCAGTTTCTGTCCTGGAGATGGATTCGCCTAGTGGGGAATTTGACTTGGGTTTGTGGTTTGATTTTCAATTGACTTTCTTACTAGTCTGGACCTTGCCTCTTTTGTTGTTGTTGTTCTTACAGCATAGGCTGATTGTCCCGAAAGCTGGGAAAATGCTAGACCTCTGTCATGCTTTATCAGAGCACACAGATGTGCCTGCTGAGCGGGTAAGTTTGCCAGGAGGGTGAAGGAGAGATACCTCAATTGAATGTAGAAGCCTGTTCTGTGTCTTCCCTTTCTCATGACTGTTTCTTTGCCTCCTCTCCAGATGATGGTGGCCGATGTGTTCAGTCACCGCTTCTACAAGATCTACCAGAGGGAAGAGTCTCTCAGCTGTATCCAGGAACGGGATGACATCTTCATGTGAGTTTGGGGAGGGGATAATCATATAAGGCAGAGCAGTTGTTACCCTGATGCCCTTCCAGTGCAATAGACTGTAACTTTCATTACTCAGCACAGTTGACTTACCTAAAAAGCCCAGATTGGAAAAGCCCGAAATAAAACAGCACCAGCACTTAGACTTATATACCGCTTCACAGTGCTTTCCAACCCTCTCTAAGTGGTTTACAGAGTCAGCCTATTGCCTCCAACAATCTTGATCCTCATTTTATCCAGCTCGGAAGGATGGAAGGCTAAGTCAACCTTGAGCCTGGTGAGATTTGAACTGCCAAACTGCTGGCAGCCGGTGATCAGCAGAAGTAGCCTGCAGTACTGAACTCTTACCACTGCGCTACCACGGCTCTTAAGACCTTTAAATAAGGCAAAGGAGTGAGAGCTAGTAAAACATAGAATTACAGAATTGGAAGGGATCTTGGGGGTCAGGTAGTCAATCCTCTCCTCACCATAAAATGCACTGGAGCGTTTTCCATTACAGTGAGTCTGAATAATAAGATGGACCTGTAATTCAGACTAGCGTTTTACTATAGTGAGTAGGTTCACAGCAAACAGAGGGAGGTCAGTTGTGATAGCAGAAGCAGCAAGAGGTAAGAATGTAATTGCTCAATGGGTCAGCATGGTCCGAGCATGACATGCATTGAGTCCTGTTACTTTATCCCAGCAGTAGGCAGAGAAGGAAGATCTTGGGATGGTGCTCAAGGTGGACACGCTTAGAGTTT